ATGCATACTGCAATCAGAGCAAGATAACTCGTTTGTCAACTGACTTAATGTCTCTAAAGTTTCACAATAGTAAATAGTTGAAATTGACAATGAAGGAAACGCAATTAAAGAACATTCATTGCCTTGTACATTTTTGTTTATTGTTAATGAAGAAGATACTGGTGAATATTCCAACTCAAATCATAAAAATAACGGTGATAAAGGTGATGATAGTAAAGAAAATAGTTTCAATAAGGCTAATGATGGTGAAGAAAATAGTGATGACGAAGAAAATAGTAACAATAAAGTTGAAGAAAGTGATGACAATATAGACGTTTCATGGTAGTATTTCATAGCTTTTAAACGATATTAGAATTTTTTTGATAAAGTTTTTGGTGTAATAAAATAAAAGGAATTGAGAATGAAATGTATCAAGTCACATTGTTTTATGTTATAATAAAAACAATAAAAAATATAGAGGTTGTAGTACATATCATTACTAAATAGAAATTTATTAATTTTGGCCACTGAGTCAAATTACATGAATGTTGAGTCTATAGCTTCAAATGTACATATTTGGTTTTCAGATGTATTATCATCTTATTATTATAAAACTGATTAATAAATATTAGTCAAAAGGTCAGTTAACATATCTAATAGAGATATTAACGATTTAACTTGATTGTATATTTATTATTTTATTATACTGTAAAAAACTGTGAATAGATTGCACGTAGAAAATAATTTCTACATAGTAATTCACCAGATCAATATGCTCAGTATATACTGTATTGATATTGCATAAGAAATTTCAAATATTTTATTTATGTGAACTTTCGAAAATATATAATTTGTATAAACCTTTCAAATAAAAATGTTCATTTTTATATTATTTGAGATTAATTAAGTAAAAAAATTTCTACTAAGAAATAAAAATTAATACAAATATTTTAAAACTCTTATCAGAATTTAACTTGAGTGACTCAGCATTTATTTTTATCATTTAATAGCAGTGAAAATATTAATGAATATTAATGTAGAACGGCTAATACGGCAATTTATCCCACATTGATTGAGAACAGCAAAATTATATTATGGAGCGGCCAATATAGCAATCCATTTCCATATTAAAGCCATTCTGTGAATATACAAATTGGATGGAATGGCCAAAACACTATTCCATATTTATTTTTCCTCAAAAAAAGAAAAAAAGTAATACGTAATATTATTGTTTAAAAAAATTAAAAACACTTTCTTATTCATGCTTCACGTTCGATTATTCTTTAACAAATATCTATGTTTGATTACAATATTACATTATCATAATAGCTAGACAGAACCAGGTCAGCTTCAACGCTTTTCAAATTTTATTACCAAGAAAGTCATCATAAAAATAAAATTGACTCTTAGTTTCTTAATATAGGCTGGCTTATAATTATTTGTAAAAAAAGTGTATAAGTGAATATATGAACAAATAATAAGAAAAAAATAAACAAAGTTTAACTTCCCTTAAGTAATTGAGTGACGTTCTCGTATTTTTTGTATAAGATAAAATTTTTGGATGTTATTTACCAAACTCAAAAGTATTCTTATTTTTATGTTATCAGCTAATTTCAATCCGAGAACAGTCTGATCTGATTCTAACTAGCTGAACAATACAAAATCAGATTTTTTTACTCACGGTTATATCAATTAAATTTTTCTTTGATAAGCAATTAAATTCCGGTTTATAGTTGTGAAACTTTAATTGATAATTCAAATCAAGAAAAATTCCTCTTTTTTTAGCAATTATGACAAAGTTTCCCAACTAACGATTGTGAAACTTTAGGGGCGTTAGGTTAGTTGACAAAAAGTTATTGTAATCAAGTTCTATTGTGTGTTAAGTCAGTTGACAAGGGTTATCTTGCTTTAAATGCATTAATTATCTACTTTTGTAAAACTTTAGGGGCACTAAGCCAGTTAACAAAGAGTTATCTTGTTTCAATTGAACCAGTAAAATTTTATTTTCCTGAAATATCTTGTTTCTTATTATAGTAATCTTTGATAATCAAGTTCTGCTATTTACTATTGTGAAACTTTAGGGGCGTTAAGTCCGTAACAAAAAAGTTATCTTGCTTTAAATACATCAATTATTTACTATTGTGAAACTTTAGGGGCATTAAGTCAGTTGACAAAGAGTTATCTTGTTTCAATTGAACCAGTAAAATTTTATTTTCCTAAAATATCTTGTTTCTTATTACAGTAATCTTCGATAATCAAGTTACTATTGTGAAACTTTAGAGGCGTTAAGTCCGTGACAAATACATCAATTATTTACTATTGTGAAACTTTAGGGGCGTTAAGTCCATGACAAATACATCAATTATTTATTATTGTAAAACTTTAGGGTATTAAGTCAGTTGACAAAGAGTTATCTTGTTTCGATTGAATCAGTAAAATTTTATTTTCCTGAAATATCTTGTTTCTTATTATAGTAATCTTCGATAATCAAGTTCTGCTATTTACTATTGTGAAACTTTAGGGGCGTTAAGTCTGTGACAAAAGAGTTATCTTGCTTTAAATGCATCAATTATTTATTATTGTGAAACTTTAGAAGCGTTAAGTTAGTTGACAAAGAGTTATTACAGTAATCTTCGATAATCAAGTTCTGCTATTTACTATTGTGAACCTTTAGGGGCGTTAAGTCTGTGACAAAAGAGTTATCTTGCTTTAAATGCATTAATTATTTACTATTGTGAAACTTTAGAAGCGTTTAGTCAGTTGACAAATGAGTTATCTTGCTTCTGATTGCAGTATGCATCAACAAAATTTTATTTTTTCTGAGATAT